AAACGAATATCGAAAAGACCTCGAAAAAAAAAAAAAAAAAAAAAATTACTTGGCGCGTGAAAATTTATAAACAAATATTTAAAAAAAAAAAAAAAAAACTCATAATAAATAAGTAAAATATCATCGTGCATGATTGAGAGAAAGAGAGAGAGAGAGAGAAGAAATAATAATAATAATAATAATAATAATAATAATAATAATAATAATAATAATAATAATAATAATAATAATAATAATGATAAACATATAATGATTTTTTTATTTTTGTAAAAGTCGTCTTTTTAAAAACCATCAATTTCAACAATCGAAACTCGATTATAATGTTTAAAAAAAAAAAAAAGTTAAATAAAAAAACAAATGTTGCCACATTATATTGAAAGTTTATAATAATAATAATAATAATAAAAGAAAAAGTTTTTTTTTTTTTTTACATTTAAATCGAATGGCAATTTATGGATTTGATATTTAAAAAAAAAAAAAAAAAGAAAAATTTAATAATTTAAAATATATAAATGATTATCATTATTTTTTTCTTTAACGGTTATTAATAATGTTCGATTAATCGTTCGATTAATCGAACGTAGTAGTAGTAAATATTTATAAGGAAAATAGTAATAGTAGTGAAAATTGTTAATAACTTTTTATTTAAATGAATTTATATATATATAAAAGAATTTCGTTTTTTTTTTTTTAGTGAATGTTTAGTTTTTTAGTATTTTTTTTTCGAGAAGATGTTAGAGAGAGAGAGAGAGAGAGACAGATCAAGGTCGCGTTTAAAACGATAAAAGTTAAGGTAGAAATAAAAAAAGAAAGGTATAAATTTAATTTTCGTGTTATCAACGTGTCGATCGTATTTAAAAAAAATATTATCAATCATTATTATTATTTATTTATTTATTTATTTATTTATTTATTTATTTTATTGATTCGCACTAGTTTAATTCATACCTTTTTTCTTTTATAGGAATATTCTGGATTTTATCCCGAATTAAAATAATAATAATCAAAAGAGGGATGAAGGAAGGAGAGGAGAGGAAAAGGAGGATGGAGAAGGAGAGGAGGAGAAGGAGGATGAAGAAGGAGAAAAATCAAAACCGGCCATTTTTCTTAAAGAAAAAGGGAAAACGTTCGGGAAATAAAAAACATTTGAAATTAAATTTCGATGAAAAAAAATGAAATATTATCTTATTTCGTTTCATCAATACTTGTGTGACAGTATCATCTTTCATTCACGGTTTTAAATCAAGAATTTCTAATAAAAAAAAAAAAAAAAAAAAAGAAAACGCACGCTTACTTTCATCGAAAAGTAAAAATTCTATGGTTTTATCATTATTATTATTATTATTTTATACATTTAATGTGGCAATCGGCATACTTTTTTTTTAAATTTTTACCAAAGCAATTTAATGATTTTTAAATATTATTATTATATACCTTATGATAAATACTCTATGCCATCCGCAACTCCTTTAAAAAATAATAATAATAATAAAACCGAAATTAACGTTTTTTTTTTTTTACAATTAATTAATTAATTAATTAAATGACTGACCGTAAGAAACTAAAAAAAAAAAAAACGGGAAAAAAAGTTTCTTTTAATGACAATTAAAATTCTGGTAAAAAAAAAAAAAAAAAAAAATTTAATTGCAATTAATTGTTGTTGTTTAAAAGAAAAAAAATTCCAACGGTTTTTTTTCTTTTTTTGTTATTAAAAAATTTATTAAATAATTATGTAAAAGTTTTCTTTTATTAAAAGAATTTATATATATATATATATATATATATATATATATATATATATATATATATATATATATATATATATATATATATATATATAAATAATTGTAAAAACAAAAAGTGAAATTTTTTTTTGATAAATTTGCCATTTTTTATTATTATTATTATTTTCCTCCAACGTTTCTTTTGGTTTTTATTATTAAAACGGTTCGAAATGTTTATTTAATGCGTAATGGCAAATATTTTTCATTTTCATTTCCTTATAAATAGTTCAACGTGAAATTTATTTTATTTGTTTAAAGAAAAAAAAAAATGATTCATTTGAAGTTATCTTTTGACTAAGAATTTTTTTTTTTTTTTTTTTTACGGGGGCGTTTGCATAATTTTTTTAACTTTAGTCAGCAACATTTTAGCCCCTGTCAAAGCCTTCTTATAGACTATAGCCAACACGACAAAAAAAAAAAAAAACCAACGGTCGTCAAATTTTTCCCCCCCCCCTCTCTCTCTCTCTCTCTCTCGACAATTTTAAACGAAGCGTTTTTTTAAAAATCTTTCAAAAAATGATTTAAAATTTACACCATTTAAAAAGTTTTCAAAATTAAATCTTATTTTATTTTACTTGGTTGATCCTTCTAAGGGTTTTTTACGACCGGCGACATATTGAAAATGTAAAATTTCGGTTTAAATTATTAAATTATTAAATTAATGTTAATTTTATAGTTAGTTTAACCGATATCACGGTTAATGATGATAATAATACTAATAATAAATGTAAAATAAGAGAAAATTTACCGCAAAAAATGATAATCAAAGAACCAGGTTCCATTTTGAAATCATCACATCACAATAATAATAATAATACGTATGATAAGACAACAAAAAAAATGTTTCGGAAATATTTCTACACTACAAGGTCAGTTTTTTTTTTTTTCTCTCTCTCTCGTTTATTCTTTGACAAATATTAATCGAATGATTGAATTTTTTTTTCCTTTTTTATTACACGACATTTTACACTATTATTATTATTGAATACTATTAAAAAAAAAAAAAAAAAAATTAAAACTGATTTATTTGTAACGGAACGGAGATCTTATTATCATTACACGCTCGCGACTTCACGACAACAACCGTACAAAAAAAAAAAAATTTGTATGATGCATGAGAAAAATGTATATAAAAAAAAAATTTTTTTTTTTTTTTAAATTCAACACATGCTTATAGAATGCGCGAGTTTATACGTTTGCAGTGACATCTGATATTTATTTTACGAACTAAATTTTTTCTAGGTCAAACGTATAATTTTTTTTTATAATCGTAAGGTAAACATTGTCGATGGTAGATAAGTAAAAGGAAAAGCGGGATTTATCCGTTCACTTTCAATTTTTTTTTTTTTTTTTTTTTTTTTCGATTTGCTGAGTAAGAAAAATTTTTTTTTAATAGGTATATATTATTATTATTAATATTACATATTTCTATCGACTGCTTACTTTTAAAAATTTTCCGCATCACCCTAAATCTTTTTTTGTTTTATCGAAGAATGATATGATGTTATCAAATTGTTAAAATAACGGATTATTTTATTTTTAACATTAAAAAAAATATTATTATTATTATTTTTTGTGGGGATAAACCACAAGGGGTACGGGTTAATAAATAATTTTAACATTTTTTTTTATATAAATGAGAGCTTATATTTAATGATGTTACTTTAATAACCCAAGGTTACCGTGAGAAAAAAATAATTACATTATTTTATAAAAATTAAGAGGAAAAGATAATGGAGGAAATATAAAAAAAGTCATACAATATATATATAAATTCATAACATTTTTTTATTTTAAATAAATTCCTCAATGATTAATCCTGATCCGCCTAAACTTACTTCTAAAACTGTATATCCGGATGATTCCAATTCCTTAAACAAAAATTAAAAAAAAAAAATTAAATTCGATAAAGGGATTTGAACGAAGGACTATATTCGTCAAGTGTGTGTAATTTTACCTTTTTGACATCTTTAATTTTACACGTTTCCGTATTATCCGGTAAATATACGAATGCAAATCCACCTCCCCCGCCTCCCGTCAATTTGGCATGTAAATCATATTTACTCGCGATTTGAATGATTTCTTCCAGAGCCGGATGAGACACACCGAGAACTCTTAATAAATTATGATTTAACGAAATCAATTCCTAAAACACAATTATTATTATTATTAATAACGTATCAAGTTCGTTTTGTTGGAAACAACAACATTAACTTACTCCAAAGTGAGAAATAAAATTTTCCGAACATTTTGACGTGTTTTCGCACTTTAAAATACTGACGGCATTTAACGCAATGGCTTCCATTCCTTTCAATACGTTTTCAATAATTTCCGGATGACGATTTTTTAACTTCCGAACGTTTTCGACCAACGTTTTCGTACTCCTGGGAACGTTCGTGTTGACTAATAATATTCTAATCGTCGATTTTGTGTTTATCATTTCCATCTGATTATGACCCTCGTTTGATTTAATAAATTTTAATAGTGCTCCGTGAAGTATCGTCGTGTTATCCACTCCCGACGGAGATCCGTGAAATATTTTTTCACACGAATAAGACATCTCCGACACGGTATTTTTGAATTCATCAACGAAATCACAAATCCCGTTGTTATTTCTGTAAACAAAAAAAAAAACAAATTGGCACTAGGAAATTATCTTTAATGACGATAAACTACTCACCTCCTAACGAGCTCGCTAACGTTTTGACTCCCCTTTAAATGATGTTGATAAAGTAAAAATGCTGCTGATAAAACGACGGAAAAACTTGCAGAACTTCCGACGCCGCAACCGACGGGTAATTCGGAATTTATTTCGATTTTAAATCCCCGAGAAAAATTCATACAATTTTGAAAACAGTGAAAAAAAGCGAGCAAACAATTATTTTGAGATTCTGACAAAGTTTTCAAGCATAAATTTCTTATTCCGTTATTCAAACGTGCCAAATATTCTCCCCAATTTTCATTTTGATGAGTACCCGTGAAATAATTTTTAACATCCGTCAAATCGAATTCCTTTTCTAGGTTTAGAGCGGAAAATTTAACGTGTACAATTCCCGACGAATTTTCTTCGAAGTGTAGTCTGGTACGAAGGCACAGAGCACCTGCCAGTGCAGGTTTGTTAAAAACCACAGAATATTCTCCGAATAAAATTATTTTACCAGGAGCGGATAAATTAAATTTAAACGGTTTTGATGCAGGATAATTCATCTTATTAACACTCTGTAATAAAATTATTATTATTATTATTATTATTAGTTGAAATTAAACACAAACTTAAGAAAAAATAAAAATTACACTAACCTGAATATCATATAAATACTTTTCGAATACTAATACTAGTAAATAAAAATTTCAAAAAAAAAAAAAAAAAAAAAAAAAAAAAACTTTCACTCCGACTTCATTTCTTCCCATTGTCGCGGCGTTAAAGTCCGTTGATTGAATGCATGTATGACCTTGAGTTCTTCTTCTAGAACACCGTTAACCAGTCTAACAACAAAAAAAAAATTTTTAAATATTTTTATATTTATAATTTAAAGTTTAAATAATTATATACTTTGTTTTAAAATGAGAATACCTGTGCCTTTGCAAAAGCGGTTTTCCTTCAAATTGAGGGGAAACAATAATGGCGGAAAATTTTGCTCCACATCCGTCCGACTCGTCTGTAACGCTCTGTAAGTTACAAAAAAAAAAAAAAAACAAAATGTCGGTATTCCCAATTAAAATCAAGAGAATTATACCACCAATTGTTAACATTAAATAAATTATGTTTTAATTAAATTGATAACAAAAAAAAAAAAAAAAAGTATTAAAGGTCAAATAAATCAAATTTAAAAAAAAAACATTCAAATTTATTTATTAAATAAAAGAAAATATCAGAAAATTCAATGTGTATTTTTACAAAAAAAAAACATTTTCAATTTAAATTACAAATAATATAATTTACAATCCATTTATTTTCCATTTATTCTTTAAAAGAAAAAAATATTTGTATGACATTAAAATAAATTTTAAATGAGAAAAAGTGTAAAAATGAATAAATTGAAAGTAACAAAGGCCAAAGGTCTGGATATTTTTCTGGAGGTTTTACAAAAAGCGAACAAAGGAATAGAATCATGTATAAGAATATGGAGAGTTTAAAAATTGTAAAAATAAAATTATGTTTTTTTTTAACCAATGTCCCTTTTAAATTTTGTTTAAATTTTTTCTCTTCCGACATCAAATGAAAATTAACATTTGCAAAAACGAATAATGTGAATAATACAGTGAGAGAAATAAAAGGAATGAGTAAGCCATCTTTTAATAATAATGGAAACATTGAAAAAGTAGACACCAATAAAAACCAAAAACATGGAAATGGATCAAAGGGGAAATAAAGAAGTATGGGAAGAGCTGTAAGAAGAATTGATTTTTCATGAACCTGATATGAGAATAAAAAAAAACTCAATGATACATTGATGAATGATAATAACAATTTTTTTATCGTGGGATTTCTAAATAAATCATACAATGATATAAATGATGTAGCAAGAACGCTAAGAATGCAAAATTTGGCTAATTTTATTCGATCTACATTTTGATTTAATTTGTATACTACAT